GCTCTATGAAATGAGGATGCTTTACCTATGAAATGCCTTTCCTGGACCCATTTCATAGACAGGGGCTGTGGATCAAAAAGAGTTGGCAACCTGGAATGGCATGGAAATATATAGAGGAAAAAAACATGGCAAGGTTGATGAAAGCAAGAGACGAGATAGACGAAAGACCTGGGATGTCCATTTTATAGAAGAGAGGAGTTGCACTCTACTCCTGACTGATCGATGTTGGACTGTCATTTTATAGAGAGGGGGGCTGGATGTTAAAGATAGATGAGATCTGGAATGCCATTTTATAGGGATATGCGCGTGCCATGGAGCCCGCTGAATTGACAGAGTGACCACCAGTTCATACCAGTGCTACTCTGGAAAAGAGATGAATTGCTGAGCTCAACTGTGCAGATTCTCAGTTTATAGTAGACAAAGTGGCGATGCTGCGATGCTGCCAGAATCTTTCTGAACCTGGTACCTGGCACCTGGTTTTCCATTTCATAGTGGCAATGTAGTATCCCTGATCCTTTAGGTATGGAATCTGGAATTCTCATAGAAAGAATATTTCTGACCCAGCGTGGAATCCAACCTATATTTCTAGACCTCTCATCATCGGGAATGCCATTTCATAGTAACACCTGGATTTCCATTTCATTTCATAGATGATTTTTGGCTTTGATTCTTTGACCATTTACAAGCCATTTCATAGACACAATTTCTCTACAAAATGCACTGTAAAGCATGCAACCTATCTATCACCAGGGATTATATAACTATATATATTATACCACTTTCTTTGACGGCAGAACAAATGCCGGAATACATGTCGGAGCACATACCGAAGTCGGACCATATGTCACAGCACGTGTCAGACTTCACCTTTATGACCGATGATTCGTGTGATGTGTCAGAGCACCAACCAGGCTTGATGCCAGAACAAGTGTCCATGTGCCCTGCCTTCTTCCAAATCGCCCACTCGTTCATTCGATCTGAAGTTTCCCAGGATCCTGGCTTGGCTCGCCCTAGGCGCAGAACTCGGTAACTTGTGTATAAAAATAGAGTAACAGCAGCACCCTTGAAAGACGGGATTCAGAATGTTGAAGAACGGATTTGACAAGAGCGAAGGAACAAAACAAAATTGGATGAAAACATCTTGAGTCGGGCGTTCATCTCTTGCGCTTCATTCAGCGGGAGGCTACAGCCATTCCTTTGCTGCAGTGGTTTGGGGCTGAGAGTCGCAGGTTGCGTTTGAAATTGTTCTTTGGATGGTGTGAGATACCCTTCCTCCAACAATCATGGCAGTGGATGGCAGGGCCCTTGGAAAGATCGTTTTCCGAATACCATTCAGGGGGCGAACCGGGTGACCACTTAACTGGAAGTCAGAGAAGTCTAGGTCTCGACCCGTCGACACACGGGTCCCGAGTTTAGAAATGGGGTGGTTGATTCACGGGTCAATGTAAATATGCCAGTCCTGAGGGTCTGGACTACGGTATAGTACGGACCCTTCAGAGATTTCTTGGAGTGTGGAGGCTCTATCAGGCACGACATGGCACAACACATACATTGTTCGTGGTGTACAGAACAATAAGGAATGGTGTTCAAAAGCGTGGTCTAAATGTGTTTGGTGAACAAGAGCTATATAATATATATAACTATGATAGATACAATTACAGTACTAGTACTATATATATATATTTATAGGTTTCAAAACTTGTTGAAACCGACGATGATCAGTTGTCCAACAAGAAAGTGTGGATCTACTGGATATATGGGGGTGCCACAAGATGCTACCGTGTTGGGGTCACAGTGGGCCATTGTTGACCCAGAGCCGTCTACTGAGTGAGTCACGAATTGTTGACCAACTGTTCGCTTATCTTTCGGACCAGAAATTGGAGATCATCTTCATTCACCTTGGTTAGAGTTAGAGGATCTGATGTTCATCGATCTGTGTCCACATCCTCATTGTCCACATCCTCACCAGAGTTCGGTGAGAGATGTATGTGAGGTGCTTCTTCTGCTTTTCTATTACGCTTTCGTCCCAGGGTTCGGCCACAAAGGTGGGCCCCGCCCCGGCGCGTGTTTTCGAACTCGGCACAGATTGAGAACCCTCAGGGCGGGTTCTGCATTTGGGCAAGATCACCAGGGGATTGACAGCTGAGCTGCCTTCGAACCAAGAACTGACGAGATGGTCACTGGATGGTTCTGGATGGTTGACTAGATGGTGGTGACTGGATGGTGTGGGCACCCCCAGCACCATCCAGGGCTTCTGTGGTACTGTTTTGAATGCAGAACTTGTCCATTCCGGGCTGATGGATGGCCAGGTCCTGTGCAGACAAAGTCTCAGCATCAGCACACCACCGCGGTCCAACCTCAGGGATATCAGGACAGCAGACGTTTTTGTCAGTCGGCAGCCAAGATTGATACCATCAACACAAGGAACGCTGAAAAATCCACCAGATTGGTCCGACCGTAACCACTCCAAACCCGGTTTTCACCGTCCAGTTTGCGGCTGCAGATGTGCCAGAAGATGTTCACGCCTCATGGCCAGTAACAGATGTAACAGTCGGTAAAAGGTATTATCACTCTTTTTGAGAAAGGCCTTTACTGACCACCATCATCCACTGTTACTGGCAATGGCATATACTATCAGATATGCACAGTGATATGCACAAATCACAATCTCGTTGTTCGTCCATGCTTTGTCAAGCGCCGGATGCAGGATCCATTGCGATGGACATTCCTCCCCTCCAACGGCGCAGCTTGAACTCTTGAACTCGAGCAAGCGTTGGTGCCAGTTTGTGCAGTACATAAATAAGACTATTAAGATATATGTATATATATATATAAGATTTTAAACTGCAAGTCCTCAAGTAGTAGATTGATGCGGATCTCAATTATGTTCAATGGAACCACTGATGCTGTCAGTTGCATTACATACAGTATCTATCAATTTGCAGATCTTGGGTTTCACAGGTTCTTTTTTACGGTCTTAGTCTTAGTTTATCAAGGTTTGTTGTGGATGTATCAAAGGACTTTTTTCTCACGAACGCAGCGTTCGAGATCCGACTCTGAAGCTCGTGAAAAGCTGTGTAAAAGCTTCGAACATCTTCGAACGAACATGTCCCTTTGTTGTTCGACTCAGCCCTCGGGCTCGGTCCTTCGTGCAGTGCCGGACACGAAGAAGGCGGATGGCATCGAGCCGGACACGACCCGGACGTCGGGTGACGACCATACAGGATAGGAAGGCCATTTTGTGGACATGGTGTGGGAATTGACTTTAAACTACAGTACCCTACAGGTCCAAGACCTCAATGTTCTGCAGCCGGTCATATAAAGCTCCACTCATGAGGTAAAAGGACCAAGTTTTGGTAAACTTGGAGCTGTTTCAGTTGTAAGTGTTGTAGCTAGGGTATGTGGATTCCAGCAACTGTCCGTAATGGATGATCGCATATCATATAATCATATATGATCGTTATGTATTATGGAAAAGGCCTTTACAAATCAGCATCAGCATCATCATCATCATCATCATCATCATCATCATCATCATCATCATCATCATCATCATCATCATCCATTGTTGCCGGTAATGGGGTCAAAGCGGAAGTGGTGTCCCTGAAATCTGCATTCCCCAACGCCCTGCGACCTCAAAGAAGGCCAGCATAGAAAGGCTACGCAGCCATTGGGCCACCGTCAGTGGGGCAAGGCACCCAACCTGGCGACCGACAAGCAGCTGATGACCACAGGGGCCCCGTTCACCGCGCAGACCGTGCCAACGAAAAGCACCGCGCAGACCGTGGTGGGGAACAGTGAGTGAGGTCTTCAGACCTGGTGCATCTGTGGGCATTTAAGGGGCTACCGCCCGCGGCCGCCGACCCCAGAGCGGCCGCGGGCGGAGGGAAGAGCGCGTTCGGCAGGTCTAGGCTCCATCGAAGCATCAGAAACTAATACAACTACTAGAAGTTGGCAGGTCTAGCTCCCTGGCGCCTTATCTTTGCCTGGGGGTGGGGCGCGCGCGTGCGCGGGACCACTATGCAAGATTGGTGTTGCCTCGTTTTCCACACCAGGTCAATTTGGTGCGCAGGGGGGAGTCGAACCCGGGACCCCAGCCTGGACACCGCCTGTACCGCGAAAAAAAAAGCTGACGGTCCCCACTCCTTTTCAAACATGACCAATGTCAAAAATTTGTCAATTTTTCGCAAAGTGCTGGTTGATGGACAAGCCCCAGCCATACCTATACCGAACTATTCTCAGGAACACGCCGTCCCCGTTCCGCTCACGCTCTCGGTAACGGGGGTCGGCGGATTTGTGGGCTCCGAGATCCTCACCTTAGTCTCCTTTTTGATCCCTACTTTTAAGGATGAGTAAGGGATCCCAGGGATCCCAAATCCGATGCGCAAGTGCTCCCTCGATGCGCCAGTGATCCCTTTTCCTTCCTTTCTTCAAGCCGGAGTGGTCGGCTGGCTGACACCGAGATGGCCCGAGAAGCGGCAGTTCCGCTGCTCTCATTTTCGGCCGTTCAGCCGCTCTCGCTTCAACTGAACCCGCCACTTCGCTGCTCCTGGTCAACGATGGCTTGTTCGGATGGGGACGCCCTGCATCGGGCAAAATGGCCGCTGGCGATGCCCCAGCTGTGAGTGGTAGCGAGTGGTAGCTGGGGGGAACCCTCGGCACTGCCGAGTGGCTGCCACCCACATGGTGCCAGTGCCAGTTCCATACATTGGATGGGACAAGGTGATGGAACCAGACATGTAGGTAGCGGCTTGCTGAATTTCCTGTTGAACACTGGCTGGCCACCTTTGCCAGATGCGTCGGGCGAAGAACGAAGGGCTATCAATGTTGCGGAGTTCGTGCTGTTTTATGCTGTTCTTGTAGGTACCTGAGTGCATCTTCGTTCTTTGGGGTCCCAGCGGTCCGTTTTGAAGAAATGGAACTCGGCCAAGGTACAGCGGGCAAACACTTTGGAGCCCAGCACATATGAAAACGACCTATGCGTGCTCAAGTGTTTGGCCATGCACCGGCCTACACATGAACCATGGCGAGAGGCAGGACCTGACTGGGCTTTGCTCAGCAGTGAAATGCAGTGCCTGACGGATTTTCCGTGAACAAGATGTCCAGTTTCTCCAGGCGGCTGGGAACTATCCCTATGCGTGGCATCTCCATGGGCGCAAGAGATTGTGGGAGATCCGCGTGCAGATGCGCTTGAAGGAGGTGGGTTTTTTTTCGTCCAAACCAAGTCTTTGATTTCACACTTACCTGCCTTACTTCTCCTACCTGCGTTGGAACACACTGCTGTTTGGATCGGAAGACGACTGTTCCGCTCTTCGCGTCGTTTAAAAATTGGTGGCGATCGAGGTGCCCAAGAGCAAACTCTACTTTGGGATTGAACTCGCAGATTGTGAGGTCGGGAGACGGTTCTGGGGAGTCGTACGTCGGTTGGTGCGGCTCGGAGACAGCGGACACAGCTCTGGAAGTCTTTATGCTTGTTTATGCATGTATATGTAGAGCATGTTGCAAGGAAAGGCCTGGAAAGGCCCATTTCCAGGAGTTCCAAGGGGGTGCCTATTGAAGATTATTGAAGCTTCCATGATCCACTCACTGGACTCAAAGCCACTCCGTTTGAATCGGAACAACTGGTTCTTTGCTTTCTATTGCAATGTGTTGAAGGTGTTTGCACTCACATAGCCGCCCTCTTTGTCAATCATCTGCTCAACCAAAGGCACCGAACTGATCGTCGTTCAACTCAATTGTTGGAGTCATGTTCCTCCCCAAACGGGTGGGCGGCTCGCGGCTGAGAGCCGCTCCACGAATGGACTCCGCGAAGCATCTGTCGAGTCCGGAGCGGAGCCACCGTGTCCAACCGTCTCCTGTTTCGAACATGGTGAAAGCTCTCCTCTGGCAACCTAAACGGGCTCGAAACCACAACCTGGTTCGCCGTGCCACAGGCTGCCTCGGCCACCGCACGGCAGATGAAGGCCGTTCTCATCAGAGCCGTCCAAGGTGGAAGGGTCCGGCCGGGGAAGGGAGTAATGTAGACTCTTGATGAATAAACCCTTCACAGGAAGGGGTCTTACAATCCAAATGGGGAGGGAGTTACTAATCAAGAGTCAGCAATGCGACGCGAACGATGGAACCGTGAATGGTGTTTGCAGACTCTTACGCGGACACTCCATGGGACTGTCATGTTTGCCTACATTGGGGTGGTTTCAAGGATCAATGTAGACGTAAATTCCAGTCCCATGGAATGTGTGGGTTAATGTGTGTTGTAGTTCATGTGAGTCAGGGTCAAAATATGTCAAAATTATCGTCAAGTAGGTTTAAGTGGGGTGTTTCATGCAGCGATTGTGCATGATTGTGCCTTTGGTGTTTTCCTCGAAAAAACGACCCATACCTCTAAGACTTGCATGGCCGCCAGTGAGATGGGAAGATCAGAGAGTTGTCAGAGCTTGGAGCCGTTTTGGCCTGCACAGTGGGGTTCCTATGCAGCTTGACCTTGATCATGGGAAGAGCATGGAAGAGCTCAGAGTGCGGACCCGTTTTTGCTTCTATCTCTGGGCGATTTCAACGATACCCGACCGATACCTCACAAGATAAGTTTTCTCAGCCAAATGACAAGATCCCGACACGTACACGTGGTCTGCTGCTGGCTTGCTGCGGCTGCTTGCTGCTTGCTGCTTTGCTGCTCTCCAGCCCTGACAAGCCCATCCTCTCGCTTTCAGCCTATTTTCAGTGCGTGTTGCTAGGAGAGCATGGCCGCTGGAGAGAAACATCACTTCTGTGCCGTTTTTTTGTGGGAGGGCACAGGTGCAGGCGCTCTTTTTCAGTTTCAGAGCTCAAGCTTGTGACTCAGAGTCGAAACATCGGGAAAGACATCGGGAAATTCGCCTGACCACTGATTGCTTGCACCACTGAATCAACCCAAGAGTTCATGATACTGGCATATGTCGGTCTTCGATGTGCTTAGTATTTGTCTCGCATTAAACAAAGCAAACAGAAAACCATCCTCCGAAACACCGTCCCCTTCTCGAACTCGCGGTCCGTCTTTCTCTGAGAAGCGTCTGTCACGGTCGCGACACGCACGGTCGCGTGTGTTGCAGGCGTGATTGGCGACTTCTACTACTCAGATGGGGAAGATCCCTCAGAGGTGATGCCAGGTGAAGAGGTGGAACCCTCCACTTTCGTGATGCCACTCTGGGCATTCGACCAGTTCATGGTCTCTGAGGCCAGAGGGAAATAGCATTCGGGCCAGGCTGTTTTTGTTGGTTTTTTCACGCCGGGGAGGTGTTGTGCCCTTTCTACCGTTGTGTGGCTAGTTGTTCCTTTTTGTGACGGTCAGCAAGAAGTCACGGCACATAAAGAGTTCACTGTGTTGCAATTATATCACATGTATTTACATGTAAGATAAAGATCATTAGAGTACACATCTCAAAGACCCAGAGAACTTGTGGAACTCCCCCAAATTGCCAGAGCTATGATGCATCCCTGTTGTGGAATCAAGCCACCACCAAATATGCACTGCCAGCAAGGATGGTGTGATGTGAGTCGTCAGGGTGACTATAAGACACCCAAACCCCAGGTGCTGAAATCGAATTGCTTGACCTCCCGGAGGCTGGAGAGGAGCCTGAAATCACTGGGGACTTGACCAATGTGGGCATGCTTCGGAAAGACGGCCTCAAGGCGGTGCCGGTCTACATCTCGATTCCCAAGCACTGTAATAAGTCTTATGTTTGTAACTTATGTCTAGAGTCTAGCAGATTCTAGCAGCCTAGAGGCGCATCTGAAACGAGGCTTTGTGAGTAAAGTATGTGAGGGCGGTGACGCCGGCGTTTCCGCTGCTGGATGACTTGGCTGCTGTTTTTTTTGATGTCCTTTGGATGGAACAGGCCTATGCAAAGGAGTTGCAGAAGTGTATCAATGAGTTCTCCAAGGACAAGGCCCGATGAAGCAATTCATGTACAAGCTAGTTAGCTTGACTCTGACGGGGTTCATTTTCACATAGAGGAGCAGCCGGAGTAATGAGAAGAGTGACATACAATAAATCATCCATGCCTTTTGACGAAAGCTCTCTTGGAAACTTGTGCCACCAGGTTTATACCTTCTGCATCTGGGGCATTTCCCAATTCCTGGATTGCATCCGCTGGGAAGTGGGCGGAATCTTTCCTGGTCACTGAGTTGCAGTTTCGGAATGTTCGCAGCACTGTCCTGTTGTCGGTTGTCGTTGTCCATGCGATTGTTGCTGTTGCGCCAGGGATTGGTTTGGGAGTTCAACATAGTTCAACCATGTTTTACCACCTTTGTGATCCCGCTTTTAAGAAGAACATTCGTTGATATAGAAGCAAATGATCGAATTGAAGCAGACTCGAAGTCATCCAAACAAAAATGTCTAAAATTATGTCATGTGTGTGACGAATGGTTTCGATCTCATGTTCAAGCTGCGGAATACTAAAGAAAAAAGGATGCAACCAAAAGGGCTTTCCTGAAGACGAAGAGGGTGTGGTAGCGGCTTTACTACTTGCGGCGAGCACAGATCAAGGGAGGTAAGATGTTTAACCAGCCGCAATGGTTTGCTCTTTGTTTGCCACTGCACAAACATTCAATGAGACTCCATGAGACACCCAGCAAAGCCGGCGAAGTGAAAGAGATCAAAAGAGCGTAACGAAACAGTAACCTGGTAGGGACATTCTACAAAATTCTGTAGTACCGGTAGAATGTAGGACAAGCCCAGACGGTCGTTCGTACCACATTGCTTGCTGTCTCAACCCGTCAGCGATCACAGCCCGAAGTCTCAGCTGTCTCAGCGACGTATGGGACCGCCCACTGAGGTATGACGGCCAACTTTTCGCGCTTTGGGTTGCTGCTGAGCTGAAATGAGCGACCCTTTGGGGGCTGACCCTTAATTCTGGTGATATGGGAATCGGGATCATCAGTTGTAGTTATGGATCAGTCAATGTTGACCCAAGTCATGTTCAGAATTGCCGTAAAGAAATGCAAAGACAGGGTGGCGGTCGGTCTCTTCGAAAACAACGACCGAGCGGTTTTTTCACCACTGTGCCAAGAGGCGCCGAAGAAGGGTGGTCTGAAAAGCGAGGCGTCGTGGACACATCACGGAGCAGCAGGCAATCGACACATCCGCGTCAACGGCGTCCAACGGGCGCAAAATGTAATAATCATTGATAATCTTTAGCGCCGTTATTCAACCTAAGTATACATATATTGTCAACATAATTCAACATGTCTTTAGCGTGTATATTCGAAGCTGGCACAAATCTCAAAGAGATTGTGCATTGAAGGCCTGAACGCAGGGTGGCAGGCCCTGGCTGCCACTCTCAGTAGGATGCTGTATTTGACGCAGCAGAACTCGACCTGCCTTCTCGGCTCAGCTTTTTGAAACAGCTACTGTATATATATATATAAAGGCAGTGTTTTCATTTTGACCAACTCAATGACCTAATCTAACCCAGGCCACCCATGCGTCGCCAAAACTTGCCAGACGATGGTCTCACACTTTTCACTAATGCATGGAATGTCCTGCGACAATTGATGGTAATTGCATATTCCTTTGGGGACACCAATGTGGATAGCGGATAGTCAGTTTTGGGGTGAAACCGATGTTGCAAATACATGTAAATACAACAGTATGATATGATTGTACCAATTACAATGGAGCTTGTATGTGAATGCTGTTGATTCTGTCGTGCCTTTGACACTGAAGTCGCTTCTCAAAAAGGCGCGCAGAATCATCATGAGTACGAGTAGAGTCCGTAGACATGAACCTTTCCTGGAAGCAAGGACATGCAATAAGAAGGTTCCCATTCCTTCAACAGACCAGACTGGAGCCACCCAGCCCCCCCGCCATAGGAAGGTGATCAACATTGCAATCTATGAGATGCCTGGAGAACACCCAGATGCCAGGCTGGCAGAGTTTGGCCTGAAAGATGTCATTGTGCTCACCGGAGCTCACTGCTGTCTTGGCTTTTCAGGCACTTGAGGTCGCGAAAGAGGCGGGCAATGCTCTTTTGTTTCATGAGATGTGTTTCTTGAGACATGTCTTTTGGAAGCATAAGTTCAGCTGATGTCATCCAGATACTTTCTGAACGTGGCAATGTGGAGCATTTTGCATTCTCCAGAGAAGAGACTGCTCGATGAGTTTCTGGGCCGCTTGGTTTTCATTAGAGAGCTCTTCCCCGGACCGAACAAAACAGATCAAGTATCAAGAATTATCAAGACGATGTTTTCTCAATCGAAACACCTTGCTGTTGTTTTCTCCGTACATCAATTGATCAACCACGACGGTGATCAACCACAACGGTGTCTGAGGTCCCGATGAGATTGAGGAGACCAAGCCGCAGAGCCCGAGAGCCATGGACGTGTTCGCTTGCTGTTTTTCGGCCGTAAAAGAGGGTGGGACCGGCAGACGCGGAAGCAGGAAGCAACAGGTGCATGGTCTTTGTAGGATTGTCCATATGGGTCCATGTTGGTTGCAGGGAGGGTAACACCTGCAGCACAGCTCGCCTGTATGAGCTATGAGAAGGCTTTGGCCTTTGACCCAACGAGTCTAGGGGTCTCCCTCAATGTCACGGACGGTTCGCTCACCCCAGGAATCACATGCTCAAGTTGCCAAGTCAGAGCCAGAACACGATTCTCCATGTACTGCAACCTTCGTGGCAGTTCCATGTTTTGGTCATGTTTTGGTCCAGCAAGAGGACATTTTAAATGTTGTTGCGTCCATCTCTGAGGCTCAGGCCTGTCGAGGGTACGCCTGTGAGCGGGGCTTTTCCAGCTGGCCGAACGGCCAAGCAGCGGTTTTCAGCCCACTAATTTTCGTGGAACTCTGCATGCGTTGAGCCAAGCAAAAGGCTTGGGTGGGGTTGCGTCTTGGAAGCATGGGATGAAATGAAGTTGTGGGACATTTGAGCCCAAGTTGGCGAGGTTGACTTCAGGGATCATTGCAAATATATCATGAAAAGCACACGAGTCATCATGAGTCATAAATCTGTAAAAAAACATGCTTCCTTTTGCAAACCCAAATCACGATGAAGACATGAAGACTCTTTCTTCAGAGACACACATCAATACGAACTGCAGTGGTTGCACGGCCACACTGACGGATGACGGATCTCTAAAATGAATCAAGTATTGAAGAGGATTGTTGAAGCAGGGTTGAATCTTAAGCACATGTTACACATTGTTTAACATCGTATCCTTCGACAAGACTCAAGTCAGCCACTGTCCGTCGTGATGGCGCTTCAACCCAGAAAAGACTCCAAACTGGCAGAGCTCCCGGAAAAGTGCCATGTTCGTTCGGCTGCGTCAATGACGGTAGCGCTGCGTGTAACGCCACGGTAACGCCACGGCTGCGTCCATCGCTGCGTCTTCCGCCGTTCAGCGAGGTTGCGGCTTCCCCAGGCGAGGAGCGGGGCCCGAGATGTCGAAGGGCTCGAATCGAAGGAAGGAGGAGCACTCTTTTTCGAATGGGCAAACATGTTATAAGGATATGATAATAAGGTTATCTATATATATATATATTTACAGGGCATTTCCGCCACAGCTTGGACAGTGGAAGAATTTGATGTGGTTTTCGTTGGAATCACAAGACGAACAGACTGCAGACATTGGCATGATGTTTTAAATAGGCAAAAACGATATAGGCATGTCAAAAACATCCAAACACCTCATGTCAAGTAGGCCGTGTGCTTTTTGTGAAACGCACTGCATCCCATCACTGATTGCGGCCCCGCGCCGGCCCGCGCGCTCGGCGGACTGAGGAGGAGGGGAGAACCTCCAGCCCTGACGGAGAGGTCGATAGGACGGTACAGCCTGATGACATAGGTACAATGCTGAATTTGGCATGGCACAAAAACAGATCTAAACATGATATGAATCGAACCCAAAAACAAAGGAGACGCACAGGTGACGAAGGAATGTCCCAGGGACATCCGCGAAAATGTCCCATGTTTGAATGTGATTCTGCGAGCCCCAATCAGAATCCCCTGTCCCGCAAAGGTACGATGAGGTATGTTGATGAATGTTGATGAAACCTCGAATCTGGGTATGGTATGAGTCTGGCCATGTTTGGCCTGTGGATTTCATCCGGGGGTTGCTGGTGTGAAGAGTTCATATAACGTTTCAGAGTCTTATTCCAGTCCTCAAATAGATTGACTTGCGATCTCCCTAAGTCTTCCAGTGGATGTCGGTCGATTTGGAGACCTCACCAAAAACGAAGTCTCCTGTTCCCCTTCACCTGACTCCAGGCACCCTCGTCCTCCTCGTCTTCCTTACGCGAGCAGCAGAGCGGCCGGACCATGTCCGTCGCTGCAGTGCCCAATTTGCGGCTCGGAAGCGACCGAGAAAGACATGGGCAAAGGTGATGTGAAAGACATCGAAGAGCTATCACCCCAGTTTATGCCGCTTAAAAGATGTGTTTGGCGCAGAGTTCTTGTTTGGGGTGTGAGCAGTTTTGGGAAACGCAAAGGACCTTGAGCCAAGAGGTGGGAGACTGAAAGGGAAGTATCATTTGGTGATCTAAGAAATGTCTTGGAACTGAATTTCACTTCAACATCATGGAACTGGATGTTTTGGTATGGATTCTTCTTGATAAGCTGAGAATACCTGGGTTCCACTTCCATGGTTGGGAGTGCATCTCGAGAAAGCAAGACCTCCTCTAGGGGCAGAGGACCTGCAGCTTTGGATATTTTGACTTAGTCAGGTTTTTTTTTGATGCATGGGGCTTGATTGGCTTCTGCCCCCAATGCACCACCTGATGCTCACTGATTTTTGATGCATGCAAATTGTTTGATTTATAGGGTGGCGTCGAACTTGAAGAGGTTCTGTTTTGGTTTGGTGTTCTCTTCACCCACCAAGAGCCCGGACCACCAAGGAATCCTGAACCACCTCCAAAGAATCCCCAAGATGTGTCAAAGACTAAGTGGGCTCCAGATCTTGTGCCGTCGTGGCCATCACAAGGACACCAACATGGTAGGTCAGTGGATACATCCCTGCAACCTATCATGGTAGCAAACCCACCTACTATCGATGGCCTCCGACCTATAGTGTTGATACATGTTTTGGTGTATTCGATGGTATGGTGATCGATGATACCGCTTGAACCGATCCGAACAACACAAGGCGTCACTTCAACCGACGCTTTCGACCCAAGAAGAAGCCGAGGTTGCACGGTGTGGAAGCCGAAGAGGAGCTTTCTTCTTCGCAGCGAGGTTGCACGGTCTGTCCGGACGAAGGTATGCCAGGTCTGCAAAAGCCGACGAAGTTCCGCCTGGAAATTCCTGTATGGTTGAAATCCTTAGTGCAGTGGTTTTTGAAGTTTTCATCCTTGAGTTGATTGAATCACCTTCCATTCAATGTGCTGGTGTTTTTCTTGGATGCTGGGTTGTTAGATCCAAGTGCAGGATCAGGTCGACCAGTCGACCATCAACCAGACTCAGATCAGTTGGATCACTCCATGCCTTGCAGAGGAGGAGAGACCTGGATGGGAGGTCGGTAGCAGGCGACCGCATGAGAGGCGCCACGGTGCCACACATGGCTGGCTACAGCATGCTACAGGGGAGGTTCAATGATCGCAGTGAGAATCCGATAAGGATCCTATGAGAATCCGAGGATAAAGTGAATCGAACACGCAGCGAGTGTCAGGACTGTCCACGGTCTCGTCCAAGTTCAGCAGGCCTTGCGCCGTGCGAGCCACGCCGTGCGAGCCACCGTGCCACACGGTGGCACGTCAGGTGCCACACGTGGCACGTGTGGCAAACCGAACGGTGCGAAAAGCTGGAGATTTGTTGACCATTGTGGACCTTCCTGGTAGTCCATTCAAGTCCATTCTGTTCGTTTTGGGGCTTATCTCGGTCGGTCTCCCGGTTTGGACCCGGCAGAGATCCGCAGAGAATGCTGCAGAGGAGCACAGACATCAGGCAATTTTCAGGGACACCCCATCTTTGAGCTGTACTGGAGGCCCCTCCTCATGTGTATGTCTTTCGTCAGTAAATCACCTTTCATCTTTTTTGGGGGGAATTAGGGGGTGTCCCCACTGACTGAAACTCTGAAAAGTTCGGTTCTCACATGTTCTCACCTATGTGTCACCTCTTCAGTGGTTTTTAAGGGTGTGACCGGCGGACGTGGACGTGGACGTGACCTGGGCGCAGGCGCGTGGTCGCTGAGCAGCGCGACGACGTCCTCCCTTTCTCAGGAGGTGACCAAAGAGAGTCGGAGGAAAGTCGGCTTGTGCTCGGTTGACCCGGGAAACAGGGGAAGACATGTTGGGAAAAACCGGGGAAGATGAGACATGTTATATAGGAAACACAGGGGAGGAAATGGGAAGAAGAGGTTGGGAAGGCCACATGATGAAAACATTCCGATACATCGAGTCGAATCAGGACATGAGAACCAGTGGCTCACTTTGAGATGTGGTTCCAGACCAATATTTGTGTGCAAGCGGTCAGTCCAAGTTGTTTGCAGCTTGATTGCAGAACAAACTGTCAAAGCATTTACCCTCCCTACTGTACAACAATTGTTATGTGGAAGGCCTGGCCCATGGAAAGACCTTGAAATCCGAATACCACGCACGGGGTGAACTCTACTTCATTGTTTCGCCAGGATGCAATGAGCTCCCCGGGAAGTCTGATGGGTCGAAGCCCAAAAAGGAGGGAAGTGAAACAATGGGTGGATTTGCCGAGCGGGTGGGTAGAACACTAAAGAAAACTCTCAGACCGCTTCGTCGGGTTCAAACATGTTCAAAACCTGTTCAAAGACGCCTTCAGCGGCACTGTGTTCATTTGTCTTCCATTTGATTGGCGTTTTTTCTTCCGATGCCTTCGTCTCAGCGGAGCTCAGCTCAAGGCTTTTCGAAGGGCACCGTTGAGGCCGCCGTGGAGGCCACAACTTCAGCGGCAAGTTTCCCTGCAGCCACTATCGCTACTAGGAGCAAGGACGCTACTACAAGTGTCCCTTTGCTACACAAAAAAAAGGGTGGCGTCAAGGTGAAAAGATGTGAAAAGCGACGAAAGAGAATTGGGTTTAAGCTGAGAACGGAGAGGGTGAGATGTGACCAGTGGGATCTGGGACCGGAAGTCGGAGGCGGCCTCTTTGCGACTGCCGAGAACAGAAGATACAGAGGCATTCTGGGAAGTGCAAATGTCAAGCTAGAGCAGACATCCAGTGCAAACCCATCGGTAGTGTAGTCCATGATGTCAATGTGTTGGGGTTCTCTAGATGCCAATTGCAAACCAATCTTGCAGCAGCGCACAACATTACTGACACAGGTGCCGATGGAAAGACGCAGCCAGTATATATGATTGATATTGATTGATTATGATTGTGATTGATTGTCAATGTTCAAGGATGTTTTCCATGTATAGTGGCTGCGCTCTATTACTCACTAGAACACGATTGCGATAGCGCAAAGCAAAGGATGATCCAAGCACACTATTTCAAAATCTTAAAAGCACGGGGTCTGGGGATTCTAATCATGAGGAAGCTCTTCCTACCCTGAAAAATCGAGCTACATGATTTGCCGATTGCATCGAGTTCACAGGAAATGTACACATGTACCCGGGACAACTTGAGCTACAGGAAGCAAGTGATGGAGACTGCACCATCTCTGCAAAAATCACTATCTCTGAAATCACCATGAGCGGAGTACTGTCGAAGTACCACATTTTGGGGTCAGCTACAATCAACAATAAAGCTTGGGGATGTCCTATTACCTGTAACAGTCGGTAAACAAGAAAATCACTATTTTTCAACAAGGCCTGCAACCAGGCCCCGTCATCATCCACTGAAACCTGGTAATAGGATATATATATATATACTCAACAAAAAGATATTAAATCAATAAAGGGGAAGGCCGTGAAGGGTCCTACTTTCTTTCCTGCACGGTTTTTGGAGTTGAGATATGTTGCCAAGAGCAAGAAACAGGGGAGGGAAGGGAGGTTGGGAGAGAGAGAGAGAGAGAAGACACAAGTTTGCCTTGCCAATTTGGGAGGCAAAATTCGATCCCAAGACATCCTCACTTCCCAAGACATCCTCACGATCCACGGACGGCTCCGCTAGCCGCTAGCGCGTTTACTCTTGGACTCTTTGGCACAAAAATCGCTCCAGGCATCCCACGCTGCAGAGACGCACGCGGCAGAAAGAGAAAGCGATCAGGAGACGGATGCAACCAAATAGGCTTAGTGCTTGGAGTGGCACAGATGGATGAAATGGATGAATGACATATGAATGGGGATCACTCTTTGAGTAAATTAGGTCTTTGGGATGAGCAGATGGATCATTGTCCCGATTCGTTGAGCTGCAACGGTTTGGTGGGATGCATGGGTCAAAACTTGGAGCTTTGGTCCACCATGTAGCGAACGACCTTCCAGGTATGCAGGTCAACCAAGGTCTCCTGGTTTTCACCCACAGCCACAATACAGTACAACACTTGTACCTTAATGCACAAACACTGAAATTTGAGTGATACAGCGACATCATCGCTTTGATTCGCTTTGAGACTCGGCCTGTTTGTTGTTTTGAAGAGATTGTTCAACAGAAATGGTCCAGTATGCCTTCCCTTTTTTTGTGATCATCATCGAACAATAGAAGCTGTGAATGGGCAACAT